TTCTCTGCCTTGGTTAGTGTTTTGGGCAATGAAAATGCAGTTGCAAGGAGGGAATAAAAGCAACAAAGCAAATAACCGAACAAGACCATCTTAGTATGATGGGAGTGTTGCGAAGATAACACACAATCAAATGGACAGTAACTAGGGAACCAAAGTGGCCTCTTGTTTGTGTGACATTTCAGAGTTAGGATCATTAGTAACTAAATAGAAATGGGGATGTATTTAGACTTCAACTTGTAGAGGGTTCTAATTTTTATAATAAAATTTTCCAGCTAAGAACATGGAATTTTTTTCCTTCTTTTTATATCATAGACTTTTTCTTTATTCAATTTTAGTTTTCTTCCTTAGGCTTTAGGATTGTACTTATTCTTAAGTATTTTGCAGATTTCTGTGTTTTTTAAAATAACATGTATTTTTTATTGTGAAAATACTGTACAGAGGGGTTACAATTACATGGGCAAAGATTTCTGTTTTTGCTATTCTGCTGCTGTGACTTTTTTAAATTCCTATTTCTAGAGTGTGGTTGCTAAAATTGAGAAAAATCTGTTTATGTAAATCTCTTGTATCCAGCCTTCTTTGGGCAAATAATCACTACCCACAATATGCATAGTTCACACTCAGTAAATATTGACAGAATGAAAACTCATTCATCATTCAGTATCAATTCAGTATCATACTGTTCTAGAAATATCTGTAATCTTCCTTGTGGCAGAGCTTCTTGTGGGCAGGACAGAGAGCTTTGATTTCTCCCAGATCATGAGAAGGAGGAATTGCTTCAATTCAGGTATTGCTTCCTGAAGATAAAAGCCTAAGTTTTAAAATTTGAAGAAATAATGTTTGCATCTTGATTTTTACCACTTTTAAAAGCTGTGTGAATTAGACAAGTTCTCTGGACATCATTTCCTCAAGTATAAATAGAGATTTGAAATGGCTTCCTCATGATAGATCACAAAGGTTAAACAAGGTGAAAAGGTAAAGAAGTTTGAAAGAGCTTCCTGGACAGGAAGCTCTCAGTGTTGTATGGATTTTTGTTCTAAGAAGCTTGATAAATCCTGGGATATATAACTGTGTGGGACTTCCTATCCTTCCAAGACTGTATGGTGCTGGGTGTCAATGGCTCATGCCTATAATCCTAGCTGTTCAGGAGTCAAATCTGAAGATCATGGTTTGAAGCCAGCCCAGGAAAATCCTCCATACAATGTTAATAATAATTTTAATCTTCTTTCTAGTCTTAAGTATAAATGTCTCCTTTGTTATCTTTACAAGGTTGGCTTTTAAACAAAGATAGGTTATCTTTGTAAGATAGCTTCTATTGATTAATTAATTATTTTAATCAGGAATGATGTCAGATGCCTTTTTAGCATTCCTAAGGATGAGAATGTTGTTTTTCCTGTAGAATAAGCATCTCGAGCCTGGCAGTGTTCCTATGTATCAAAGTTGTCATGTTCTTTAGGTATTCTGTTGAATCCTGGCTTATATTTTCTAAGAATTGTTTTACATCAGTTCTCACAAGGGATATTCTTCTGTAGTTTTAGCTTTTGTACACCTCTCATCAATTTATTCCTGCTCTATTAACTATTGGGGGGGGTTCTTCTTTCTATAGTTTGAATAGGCAAAAAAAGGAGATGGTCTACCTTTTACATGTTTGACATAATCTCCTGTGGCAGCGCAGGATCCTGGTACTTCTTTAACGCTTTGACAGAGAAACTAGACTGTGTTTCCTTTCTTTTACTTCTTCCCTTCCTTCTTCTTCTTTTTAAATGAGATTTGCTCAGTTGTCCAGGCTGGCCTCAATCTCTAGGGCTCAGCAGATCAGCCTCAGACTCCCAAGGAACTACAGGTATGCACTACTGTGCCTAGCAGCTGTACTGTATTTTTGTCAGCTATTTGCTTTCTTGAAAGAGGCTTGGACACTTCTGTTGTGTGCCTGTGTGTGATGTGGGCTCATTCCAAGCCAAATTCTTAAGAACCATTGTGTTTCTGTTAAGTTCTCTTGCTTTTTTTTTCTTCTTTTTCCTAAGAAAGACATGTCCCATCCCAAAGAGAAGCGGCTTCTTTGGCTTGAATCCCTGAACAAAGAGGACACATGAAACAGCATTAATCAAAGGTACAACCAGATCACAAGTAATATGAGTGGGTAAACAAGACTTTGTCTTTAAGAGTTGGAGGTGTCTTTGAGATGTGAGTGTTATTTCTGTCACAGAAAAAATGATAAATGGGATCATATTTTCCTATTGTACAATGTAATTGAGTTGAACTTCCCTCTCAGGTTTTTTCTTTTGCATATTACATTCTCCAGAGATAATATATTCATGTCATCTTGTACATTTATTTGCATGGACTTATGCCAAGTAGTCTGATGTTTTTAAAAAGGTTTAATCTACCTGTAATTTCTTCTTTTGTCTATTTGTGTTCCTGCTTTCCCTTTCTCTCTTTCCCTGTAATTAACAGGGACAATGGATGTGTTTCTTCTCATAAGTGATATCTAAAAGATAAACATACTCAAATATACACGGGATCATAAACAGACATTTATGTGGGTATACACACACACACACACACACATTTTTTGCAATTGTGGGAATGTTTGAGGGGACTAGAAATTGAGAATGTGACAACACTGGAATCCATTGCATCAGTGAATGAAGAGAACTAAACAAGACCCATTGAAAGCTTTTAAGAAATTAGCAGGTAGCATTTGGGGAAAGTCAGAGTGGGCAATGAGGTCAATCTGACTAATGAATACTAAATATGCATGTGTGAAATGCTGTATGAAAATCCTTGGAATAATTAACACTGTAGGCATATATGGACATGTCAACATGAAACCCCCTGGTACAACTAATTTATATTAAAAAAATAAGTTAGATGTTTTTGCATAATTTATACATAGTTCAAATAAGCACCAGTCAAACAAGCACAAGGTCCTAAGTTCAAACCCCAAAAGTTGTTGTTGGTGGGGGTAGTGATGCTATGTGTGAACCCAAAACCACATGTGTGCTTTGCAGATACTGTACCCCCTCAGCTGCACCACCAGCCCTCTATCTGAGAGTTATTTAATAAAGATATTTAATTTTTTTCCTAAGTTAAAAAATTTATTTTGCAATTGTGTTATTAATTTCTATATTTTCTTAAACAATTTTTATTAAATTTCTTTTTTTTTTTTGTCGGCCGTGGGGCTTGAACTCTGGGCCTGGGCGCTGTCCCTCAGCTCTTCAGCTCAAGGTGAGCGCTCTACCACTTGAGCTACAGCGCCACTTCCGGTTTTCTGGTCGTTTATTGGAGATAGGAGTCTCACGGTCTCTCCTGCCCGGGCTGGCTTTGAACCGCAATCCTCAGATCTCAGCCTCCTGAGTAGCTAGGATTACAGGCGTGAGCCACCAGCGCCTGGCTTTTATTAAATTTCTTTGAGGTGGTAAGTTGAATTATTGCTACTTCGAGGTCCTTATTTGAAGTTCTATCTGCCACAAGCTGTCTTTTCTTTGTATGTTCAATGGGAACTTGGAAGTGAAACATATTTATTACTACTATTAGAACACAGTGATGTACCTGCACATATATTTATGCATATTTTATTATTTTTAGTACTCTCTATCCTTACTTGTTAATCAGCTAGTAGAATTTGAAATGACATAAACTGAAGTCTTTTTTATTCTTTTTACCAGTATTAGGGTTTGAACGTAGGACCTTGTGCTTGGTTGACTGGTACTCTACCACTTGAACTATACCAGCAGCCCAGCTTTTTGCTGGTATTTTTGGAGATTACTTTGTTAATCAGGACTGACTTTGAACCACAGCACTTAGATCTCAGCCTCAGGAGTAGCTTCTATTGTAGGCATAAACTACCGACGCCCAGTTTAAAATATTTTTTATTATTACATATCTATCTGTTTCTTGTGTTATCTTCAACTTCTACCTCAAGATTTTTTTTTACTTTATTTGGTACCCATATTTCATATAAATACTATACTTTTAATAATTTCATTATGAATATAGGTCTTGTTTTTAGAAGGTAGTTATGCACTGTTTAATGCTTTTTTGTTCTGAGTTCTGTCTTTGTTCAACATAAAGGTCATGGTTTTTATTCTCTTTAGTTTTCTATGTGTTCATCGCCATCTCTTTTTCAATCATTAAAAATTATTTTAGCTATTCACCTAAAAGAGAAACTATATTTAATTTCAGAGGAACACTAGTTGGCTCACTAAGTGAACACATCTGTGTGTGTAGGTGAGTGTGAGTGTGTGTGTGTGTGTGTCTATGTGTGTGTTCATCCAACTAGTTTTGAGGCTCTGGAGAGTGGAAGCCACCACTTCCTCTCTGCTGTTTCATTGATGCCTTGAAAAATAATTTGGGCTTAATTGGTGTTTACAAAACATTGTTGGTGGGATACTGATTTCTGGTAGAATGAATAATAAGAAATTTTGTCTTCAGAATATTGAATTTGAAGTTATAATAGATTAGAAAAGGTCCAACTTCAAGAATGTATAGGTCAGAATGTATAGGAGACTCTGAAACCAAAACCTGTAAGACTTTAATGGAGTCAGTTATATCCATCCTTCTAGGTTAATATTTCTTTAAGGTTCAGGATGACTCCTGCTTTATTTACTTGTGTCATCTCATGCCCAGAGTTGTACTTCACGTCCACAAAATGAGTGTGTGTGCGCGCATGAGTGTGAGCGCATGAGTGAACAACTTCATGAGAGAGTACAGTTAAAGGAAAAGTAGGAGCCAAACAACTTAGGCAGGTAGGGTTCTAAATCAAACAAGAAGTCGATTTCTACTTCATGAAATTGTCTCCTGGACTTTCCTAGAACCGTGCATTTAGTAGGCTTTAATTTAAAAATAAAACCCTGCATGCACATCACAAATACAAATGAGTTGTCATTCTCTCTTCTCTGGAGGTCAGCGAAGGAATGGCAGGCTCACTGACCATCTCAGCATTTTAAAAGGGAATCATTGAAGATCTCTATCTCTCTCTCTCTCTCTGGCCTCTTAGGCCAATGGCAGGAGAGAATCAGAGCAGTAGCTTTGAGTTCCTCCTCTGGGGACTATCAGAGCGCCCAGAGCAGCAGCGCCTTCTCTTCCTGCTATTCCTGTGGATGTACGCCATCACGGTGGCTGGGAACCTGCTCATTGTCCTGGCCATTGGTGCTGACACCCGTCTCCATACTCCCATGTACTTCTTCCTTGCCAGCCTGTCCTGTGCAGACATCTTCTTCACCTCTACCACGGTGCCCAAGGCCCTGGTGAACATCCAGACCCAGAGCAGGTCCATCTCCTACGCGGGATGTCTGGTGCAGCTCTACTTCTTCTTGACCTTTGGAGACATGGACATCTTTCTCCTGGCCACCATGGCCTATGACCGCTATGTGGCTATTTGTCACCCCCTCCATTACATGACCATGATGAGCCGTGGGCGCTGCGTGTTCATGGTGACTTCCTGTTGGGTCCTTACAAATCTCGTTGCCATGACCCACACGTTCCTCATCTTCCGGCTCTCCTTCTGCTCCAAGAAGATCATTCCAGACTTCTTCTGTGACCTGGGGCCCTTGATGAAGGTCTCTTGCTCTGACACCCGAGTCAATGAGCTTGTGCTTCTCTTCTTGGGAGGGGCAGTCATTCTAGTCCCCTTCTTGCTCATCTTGGTTTCTTATATCTGCATTACTCTGGCGATCCTTCGAGTCCCTTCTGCACGGGGAAGGCTCAAGGCCTTCTCCACCTGTGGCTCCCACCTAGCTGTGGTTACCCTATTCTTTGGGACAGTGATCAGGGCCTATCTGTGTCCCTCATCCTCTTCCTCCAACTCCGTGGTAGAGGACACGGCTGCTGCTGTCATGTACACGGTGGTGACGCCCCTATTGAACCCCTTCATTTACAGCCTGCGGAACAAGGACATGAAAGGGGCCCTGCTTAGACTTCTCAGGGGCAAAATTTCCTTCTCCTGTGGCCCGTAACTTCTTCAGACAATCCCAAGACATCCTCAAGCATCCTCTGGCAAGGGGCTTCCAGAGCTTTCTGCCTCAGAGGTCTCAGTTCTTAAGAAGCCTGACTCTGCGCTGCTTCCTGACTCCCCTCCATGAGTTTCATGTGGTTGAGGAGCATGGAAAGCTTTTATATCGTGTTTTAAAGTTCACTTGATATTCATTGCTTGTTTGTTCATTTGTTTTATGATCCGGCCAAACAGAGCAATATTTCAGTTGACAGCAGACTACATATTTGAAGGAGGTTTCGTAAGATTATTTGGGAGCTGAAAAATTCCCATGGCCTGCTGATCTTGCGTCCTAACATCATAGCACAATGTTTTGCTCACACACTGGGATCCTGGGGTGAAGCCTGCTGCCTTGCCAGTTGTATTAGAGCACAAAAAAATATGTCCAGTAGGTCGTACCTGTTTGTGACAATAAAAGACTATGTTGCTGTTTATGTACTGTACTGCGTGTCATTATTTTTCAGTATGTTCTTGTTTTATTGTGAAAATACTGTACAGAGTAACAATTACATGGGCAAGATAATGAGTACATTTCTTATCAAGCATTGTAACCTCCTCCTTTATTTCCCCTTCCCATCCCTTCCCATCCTCTCCCTACCCTCCCACCCAAATCTCCTCCCCCCCCCACTAAAGTTGTGAAGTTTGTTTTCGACATAATGACTTGTACATCTCATTGTTGCAATGGGTCCACCTGTATCCCTATTTAAACGATTTGTTTTTTCCCTTCCCCTCCACAAATTACAGTATGTTCTTTCCAGTTATAAGAGTATTACTGTAAAACAGTAAGTTGTATCAAAGCTCTCATTGAGTGATGGACATATGCCATCTAGGTTTGTTTAAGTAAACTCTATTATATTTGGACAATAAGAAAAATTACCTAACAGCATATTTCTCAGAATGTTTCCTTATCATTAAGACACGTGACTTCATTGTTAGTAACTTGTTATGAGGACATATGTTTTTTCCAATGTATATAATTCTAAAAGTCTATGGAGACTTCATGTTAGTTCATCAAAGCTGGGTCAGTGAGGAAAGTATGTTAATGATAGAAAATTAGCACTACAGGCACTGGGGACTCACATCTGTAATCCAAACCATTCAGGAGGCTGAAATCTGGAGGTTAGTGATTCAATGGTTTACTAGACTATAGTTACCAGCAAAAAGCAGGGCTAGAGGTATCATTAAAGTGATAGAGCACAATCCTAGCAAGTGTGATTAGTGGAAGAAGTGACATGTTTTTAAATATACTTACTATTAGCTCAGATGTTTTGTATCTAAAGAATACCACCCACGAAATTATGGATTATACATGCCAGTGTTAGGAGGACTTAGTATATCTTATAATAGATATATAAACACTAAAATAAAGTACAAAGTATTCATTATACAATTCAATATATACATATATATTAAAATGGAACACAAATGTATGCATATAACAATTTTAAAGAGTAGTTGTATCAGATACTACATTGATAAGAATGGATATTGCACAACAAAGGAACGTCACCCATGCCTGTTAGAATAACCACTACCAACAACACAAAATACTCAAGTTAACTATGATGTGGAGAAGCAGTAATGATCTTTGTCAGTACGGTATCTAGAAAGGACTGCAAGACCCAGCTACTCAGAAGTGGAAGCAGGACGAATATAGTCTGTGCCGATCTCAGAAACAAACTGGGTATATGGACACACACCTGTGACCCAACTACTTGGGAAGTAGAGATAGGAATATCCTAGTTCAAGGCTTGCCCAGGCAAAGTTAATATGACACTCTGATAAACTGGAACAAAAGGGACTGGGGCATGGCTCTAGTGGTAGAGTACTTGCCTGACAAATGAGGCCCAAAGTAGGAAACACAAAAGGTGGTGGTAGAGGTGAGGGGACTGCAAAATAACTTCTAGAGTTCCAGAAATGTTTTGTTTGTTCTTTGAAGTTGTCTAAGTACTCGTGAGTATTCGGTTTGTAAAAGCAAATGAAAATAAAAACCAGCTGCTTTTTTTTTTTTTTTGGTCAGTCCTGGGGCCTGAACTCTGGGCCTAGGCACTGTCCCTCCTCAGCTCTTCAGCTCAAGGCTAGCACTCTACCACTTGAGCGACAGAGCCACTTCTGGCTTTTTCTGTTTATGTGGTGCTGAGGAATCAAAACCAGAGCCTCATGCATGTGAGGCAAGCACTCTACCACTGAGCCACCTTCCCAGCCCTCTCAGCTGCTATATTTATTCTGAAGCATGAACATCATTATTTTTTCAGTCTGTATGTGATAATCATATTATTTGGAGTTGCTATATGCCCTCCACATGTTAATCCTTGTTGTTTTTTTTTCTGTTTTGTGGCAGTTCTGAGACTTGAACTCAAGGTCTAGGTGCTGTCCCTGAGATATTGTGCACACGGTTAGTGCTCTGCCACTTGAACCAAAGCTCCATTTCCGGTTTTTGAGTGGTTAATAGAAGATAAGAGTCTCATGAGGACTTTTTGTCTGGGCTGGCTTTGAGCCACAATCCTTAGATCTCAGCCTCCTGAGTAGCTAGAATTACAGACATGAGCTACCAGTGCCTCACTGGTTAGTTCTGGTTTTTGGAATCTTCTTCCATTGTCTATCTCTTTTTCTGTGAATGGGTGTTGGGTATTGTAGTTTTAAATTATTGAGAGAGAAATTGAGAGCTAGGTGACATTATTTGCTTCCAGACATGATATTTTGTGGCTCCTCCTTTTCTTCTTCTCCTCTCCCTCCTGTTCCTTCTCTCCTCCTTTTTCCTTCTCCCTTGGACAGAGTCATTGTATATCCCAAGCTGGCTCAAACTTGCAATCTTTCTGCTACCTCAGCTTCCTGCAGTCAAGAATTATAGATGTGTGTCACTAAGCCTGCCCAAGAATTAGCAATGTGGGGGTCCATTTCCTGTATTGAGGACCAAACTCACGGTCTCACCCACATTAGGCAAGTGCTTTCTCATGGATTCACATCCCCAGCTCCTCAGGGTGGCTGTTTTTTTTCCATTTATTTTACTTCATATTTGAAACCACTAGTGTTTGAGATTTTCCAGATCTTTAATGACTCAAAAGCCAGGCTTCAAGACTTATGAGCTGGCTTACTCTTGCTCCTAGGGAAGCTTGCAACATCGCTGTGCAGTAATCATTGGTTTCCTTCCTGTAAACAAAACTCATTTCCCAAGACTTTTGCCTCTCAACATTCACATTGGAGCAATTATCCTTATTCATCTCAAGTAGCTGTCTTGGGATTGTTTCCCCAAGGCCTCTCCAAAACTGATAAATAGACTGATGCGGTCCCTCTTTGGCCCCTTTCTGCATGAACCTGGGATCCAAGCATCAGTTTGCAGATTCCTCTGGCCGATTAGGACATAAAGAGTCTGGAGACAAAACTCAGGGCTCTTCTTTTGGGGGGACTTTTTTTTGTAGACCCAGGGAACAATCTCCCTGCCTTGCCCATCCTTAGGCAATAAGACAAGTCACCATGACCTAATCAGGAAATAATGGATTATAATCTTTTGTGTCTTGACTAAAGTTTCATCCTATGTAAGATCAAAGTTGAGGCAGAAGAACCATAGCACTCTGAGAGCCACTCCAAGCAGTGGGTAAGATCTGACCTTCTCTCTCTCTCTCTCTCAATTTCTCTCCCCCCCTCCTCTTTCCCCTTCCCTTCTCCTATCTCCATTTTCTCATGCACACACACACACACACACACACACATACACACACACACACATACTGTACAATCTAATCTTAGTATTTCAAGATAACACAAGATTCCTTCAAATCACTGAAGAGTTTGATACTTCTCTGAGTGCTCACCACAGACTGTGTTCCACGTGACAACCAGGGTCTCTAGGCCGACCATCCAGGTGGCTGAGGAAGCTCAGGCAGTCACTGTGGTGTTCTTTTCCATTCTCAAGCCACTGAGACATTCTCAGAGCAGGATGAGACCACCCACTACCTTCTCGTTCACATTCTTCATTTTTCCAGATGGCAAAGCAGCCTCCCTGTGGCTGGCCCCAAGATTCCAGGTTTTCTCCCTCTCCCTGGGAAACACTGCACGCCTGCTCATGACTTGTCTCCACCATCACATCCCACTATGACTCTATGCCACTCCTCAGCCCCAGGCTGAAGTACTGCAAGCAATAAATGAGCTTTATGTAAGGTTTAGCTAACCTCTGTTTAACCACAGCCAGTATGAGTAGCAAATAACAGGCGCTGGTGGCTCATGCCTGTAATCCTAGCTACTCAGGAGGCTGAGATCTGAGGGTTCAAAGCCAGCCTGGGTGCACGCTCGCCTTGAGCTGAAGAGCTGAGGGACAGCGCCCAGGTCCAGAGTTCAAGCCCCATGACTGAAAAAATAAATAAATAAATAGCAGGTACAGAAAGCTGTGCACACGGTCTCTAGAGCATATCCAGAGTTACCCTCACTCTCATGCACACTTCGAAGGTCTAACCAGCACCTCCTGCCACTCGCTCCGAAGCAATCACTCCAGCTGTGGGCGTCTGAAACTTATATGAATGCCTTCCCTTCCTCACAGCCACCTTTGCTGGCAACATACCTAAGTCGTGTGTGTGTGTGTGTGTGTGTGTGTGTGTGTGTGTGTGTGTGTGTGCGCGTGCTCGTGCGTCAGTGTCACAAATTATTAGAATGCTTTATTTGCTTGCTCGACTGATATTCTACCCCTTGAGCCACACCTCATCTTTGATCTTTTTGCTAGTTAGTTGGGGATAGGAGTATCTCAAATGTGTCTTCTT